CTATGCATGTCAACCTACAGATTAATGAAAAAAATTCAATGGTTCAATTGCTGAGAAGCAGCTTTGAAAATGAGCCATTAGTCACTGAAATCAAGTCATTTGCTGAAAGTGCAATGGGAACATGAGTTCCTCATAAATTAGAATACAGGGAGAGGCAATGGAGAAATTATACACAAAAGATCTACTGACACTTAGCTATGAGCCAGAATTTGGCATAGAACATAGAAAACAGGAGCAGGAGTAGGCCATTCAGCCCTTTGAGCCTGCTCCCTCATTCAATATGGACATGGACGATCAACCAACTCAATACCCTGTTCCTAATTTCTCCCCGTACTCTTTGATCCTTTTAGCCCCAAGAACTCTATCTAAGCCTTTCTTGAAATCACCCTGACTGATCTAGCCTCTGTTCATTTGTGAGTCCTGCCATCTCTGGAATCAGTCACTGCACTCCCTCTGTCGCCAGAATATCCATCCTAAGATATGGAGACCAAAACTACACACAAAACTCCACTTGTAACTTCACCAAGGCCCTGTGCAATTACAGCCAGATATCCCTGCTCCTGTACTCAAATCATCTAATTATGAAGACCAACATACCAGTGCTTTCTTCGACGCCTGCTGAATCGGTATTGCTTTTCAGATAATTATCTGCCTTCCTGTTTTTGCTACCAAAGTGGATAACCTGTCATTTATCCATATTATACCTCACTTCCCATGCATTTGCCTACTCACTCAACTTGTCCAAATTACACTGAAACATCTCTGCATCCTCTTCACAGCTCACCCTCCCACTCAGCTTCAAGACATCTACATACCTGCAGATATTACATTCAGGTTCCTCATCTAAATCATTAATACATGTTGTGAATAGCTAGGGTGCAAGCACTGATCCTTGCGGTAATCCATTAGTCACTGGCTGCCACTTGGAACAAGACCCGTTTGTTCTTACTCTATTGACCAATAACATTGAGCACCATCTACCACCAATATGGTCGCAGATTTTAATACATGACATTACATCAATGACTGCATCTCAGAATTGGCTTCAAGGGAGCAAATAGTCAAGGATTTCTCAGAAGGTATGTATTCGAATGTAAAGGAGAGCGGTCAATATGTTGCAGGAGGAATCTGCCCATTCCCACTGTTTCCTCTGTTAGCCAATGCAGAGTTTGCATTAATTGGTATTCTAAAACATACCAAATTAGTCAAAAAAATTGGACAAAATCTGATGCCTCTATAGTACCATTGTCAGTTACAGCTCATGACTGTTTTAAATCAAATTAAAGCCATCACAACTTCTAAAACAAAACAGAAACTGGAAAACATGAACTGGAAGTACAAGGAAGACACAGAAAGTGTTAGAGTGAGCATCATCGTTCTATCCGAGGCTCCTCAAGGTGCTATACATACAATTAATTACTTTCGTGATTGAGTGACTGTGGCTACAAAGTCGAATGTGGGACTAACTCTGTAGAAAGCAACAGCTCCTCAAAAGCAATGGGATTAATAACTTGTTTTTTTTCGGGGTGTTGCGTGTCAGCCTGTATTCTGAACTCAAACCCCTCGAGCTATGACGTTAAGAAGAATGATCAAAGACTAAACCACAACCAGTGGAATCTAATGCGTAGCAATCACAATTCGCACATATGCAGGACATCTTTCTTTCAAAGAAGAAATAGGCAAAGCGGTGAGCAGTCACTGCCAGGAATTAATAAGAAGCAACTTCATGTCAGTTGGGAGGAGCAGGCCACTGAGAATGGAGAGCAAGTAACAACGTAGCCTCCTTTAGCTGTTATTTTGTGTCTTTACATTATTCACGGAATCAAGGAGTGGAAGGATTTGCAGACTGTTTAACAACCTGACAGACTGTAATCATCTTTATAACCTGTCTGTTCAGGAGGCTTTATGGTTTCCACACCTCATATGGGAGTTTGGGGAAGGTGGGGTAGCTGGGAGATGTGGTGTGATGATGTAATTACCCTAACCCACTGGACGCTAAGTGCCCACCAGATATCAAGGCAGTATTCCGCAATCCACTCTCCAATTCCCGATGTGGAGTTCAAACTTCACACCTTCTGACTCAAAGGTATGGATACTACCACTGACACAGTTACAAAGTGGCAAAGGCCAGGAGTAGGCTTCTCAATTGCTGTCTCACACATTGCAAAACACATGGACAGCAGTGGTTCAAGAGGGCGGTTCAACATTTCTTTCTCAAGACTATTAGGGAAGGGCAATGAATGCTGACCTAGCCAGCGACACCCACATCCCATGGACAAATGGGCAGAAAAAAAACTGGAAAGGAAAACACAATATAAATGGGGGTTGGGGGAGTGCCAGTTGCATTCAGGAGATTGTTAGGCATTGGAATCCTGTGCATGAGATTAGTGTGATTCAGTTTGTTGTTAGTTCAACACACCAACCCTCCAATCTACCAGCTAGCAGTTCAATTATATCCAAAGAAATCAGGTGGAAAAATAGCAATACAACTTAAAATCTTCTGTTGAATGAAAAAGATAGTCATTCATGACTATTTCTTTATCATTGAATTTCGGGAATAGAATTAAAAATATATATGAACATAAATATATATATATATAAAAAATGGTAGCTGAAAAGGTTGCATCATTGTAAGTTGCCCATGAACCTATGCCAGAAGAAATCACTGTGAAGTAAATGAGACACTGAGCACAGTTGATTAACAAAACAATACATTTGAACTGGAACGATGCTGTATTCATGAATTAAAGGTCACTTTATCTTATATAATGTTATCTGAATAATCCAAGCTTATCCTTCAAAGGCAAATTGATTCTTAACCTATTTCAGTGGATCCTGGCTGAGCTCCAGCAGGAAGGGCCATTCACAGTGGCTCATAATTTATGTTTCCATCCATTGACTTTACTGCTAGATGCTATGGGACTGCACACCAGAGATTCCCTGAGATTCGCTCTCTCGAAAAGCTGAAATGATCAGACTCCACAGGCACACCAGGTCGTATCACCCTAAGCAGTTATGCAGTCATAGTGATTGTGTCTGAGTTATGAACCTGTCAGTCCAAATATCATCATATATTATCTGCACAGAGCGCACGAACACAATGGTAGATGTCTCCCTGGCCAGTGTGTGGTGTGGCTCTGGAATATTTTGCTATTTTTTAAAGAACCAGTCAGTAGTAATATAAATATTTTCAATATTCGCATATTCAATTTTCATATTTATAATGCTGCTGAACAGTTCAAGTCCCAGCACCTACAAAAACGTAAACAAAATCCTTTCTGTTGATTCTGTGTTACAATGTTATGGTAACATTTCTCTTTGTTCATGATGCCACTGATTAGTTTTTTTGATCTTCACAGGCTAGTTTTTTTTTTATTATGCAGCTGCTAGGAGGTATGTGTGCGAACCCTAGTTTGTTGTTTTACTCTCAATTTTCCTCCCTGCCTTCTGGGGAAAGACTCTGCCTTTGATCACTGTGAATAATACTCAGTGAGACACCACCCTTTGGGAAACTGGATATAAACTCACTTGGGGCTAGCCCACCATATTGCAATCTGAACTTCACCGGCTATCCTTGAATTTTTCTTTCTTCATCTTGGAGTTGTAATCATGTCAGCAGGGATTTGGACCCTCTGATGGTTCTGTTGGTCTGAACATTGGATTGCTTCATGGCTCAAGGAAAACATTCTTAGAAGAATGATGGAATACTATTAGAAGAAGATGGAATATGTCCAAGTTGGGAAAAACCAAATCGAAGATGCTGCACTCTAAATTTATGTAAAGATTTGTAATGAGAAGCAAAAATGAATCCAGCTCATCATTGGCGATGGAATGTCTAGGTTTGTTTAGGTAAACCTGATTGGCTGCAAATGTGTCATAATCCTACCTTGACACAATAAGATTAAATTTTGGAGTTAGCGGTCAATAGTATGGAATAAGCTGTTAACTCCTGTATTCCTCCCTTCTGTACAAAAAGCATTCATTCAAACTGGTGTATTTGACTATTCAGATGTGAGGCTGTATCACTGTCGTCCTGATTCACTGACTATCACGCAGTACGGTTATGGCCATACTGGGGAAACAGGCTCTTGAAATTTATCTTGAAGTGTATAAGTGCCTTACCCAGATGGTCATTTTTGATAATTAAATGTTAATAGATGGTTTACCTGTAGAGGTGTCAAAGCCAAGCCCTGGTCTATCCTCTCCTGAGGTTCTTCACATTTGCTTACCAGCAAAGATCTCCTACCTGAACCATTGGGACCTCAGCCAGTAGTCACTCTCCCAATTGTTCCCTCAGCTGAGGATTGGAATCACAACATAAACTGGAATTAAACCTGATACTGAGATGGTTTCCATCATCATATCCACTGTGGCCAATTGTCAGACCATGTGAGCCATCAGAGGAATTGCAAAGTGAAATTTCTGCACTTATGCGGCAAGACATCTTCAATTGCACATGCCAAACTACCATTTCAAAGAATAAGGGCAGTAGGTACATCAGGACACCAGCAACTCCAAGTTCTCTTCCAAGTCACACATGATCCTGACTTGAAAATATGGTGCTACTCCTTCACTGTTGCTGAGTCCAAGTCCTGGGACTTGTTAGCCAACTTTGTGGGAGCACCTTCTACACATGGACTTTTCCAGTCCAAGAAGGTAGCTTCCCATCAACTTTTCAAGGGCAATTAACAATGCTGGCCTTGCCAGCAGCACCCAGTTCCTCTAAAGAAATTATAACATTTCAAAGTGCAGCCAAAATCCACTTATTAATGCAACACAAGATGTTTCATTTATAGCTGCAAGGTTGAGAGATAAGGCTACAACATTGTAGCCCTAATTCTACGCCCACGTTCTCTGTAAGGGTGGACCCTCTGCTCAATAGTAAAATCATAGAATTACCCCTAAAGTGACCTTGCACATGAGGCAGCTACACATTTCTACACACAACAAGGGTGGAGAGGTGACCCAATGATTGCCCATTAAATGTGTCTCCTACTCACTGTGACATGTTGGTATGTCGCAGTATTTCCAATACACTCCATCTTCATACTCAGCAACGTAACACCATGGTCTCACATCATTGTCTGGATTCCTGGAGAGGCAAGAGACTATCCATTAGGGTATTTCATGGTCAATCACTTTTATTTTACTGTCATTATCGAGATTGTGGATTCCTTATGCAGAGCAGTTTTGGGGACCACCTGTCGGTTTTAATAAGTTGTCATTCTGCTATTAGAATCATAGAATCCCTACAGTGTGGAAGCTGGCCATTCAGCTGATTGAATCCATACCAACCCTTTATTGGGGCACAAACATGTGTTCTGGAGGAATAAGAGGCAGAGGAATGCCTACTGAATGTCCCTGCAGCTAAAAGGCTGAGACAACAGAGAAAAGCCAGCAATGAATATGGAGACATCACTGACAGTGCACAGCTGATGAAGCCTTCTGCATCACAGGCTGCAAATATTGCCTGTCAACGTTAAGCCAGTGCAAGGGAAAGATAAGCACAAATTGTTCTCAAAGAGCATAGATAAGTTGATGCAGCAAAGCCCTTTGAGATTACTTCTTGAAAGTTACATTTACAGAGGATCCCTTTGATGAACAGTTTCGTTTGCATTTGTGCTAAATGTTCTGTAATTAAACAGGGACAAATCCTGGAAGTTGCTGCTTCATTAACCATTTTCTGTCTTAGTGCCAAACTGATACCTTTGGCCATTGTTGATTTTGAAATAGCATGCCAATAGTGTGCCCCATTTTATTCACCTCCTTTCCTGAAGGCAGTGATCAGTGCCAGGGTGTGGGTGCTTAGTTATTTCATCCCTCACCTGAACAAGATTCTTTTTCTTACCATGATAAGATAGTGCTGTTGAGAAAGGGCCTGTCAGTGTGGGGAGTGCATTACAAAGCAATCTCAAATCTAGTATTGTGCTGATTATATTCACAGACAACAATGTGGGAATGGGGGGTGTACAATATTCCCAGCTCAATAAAGCAAAACAAAACTGTTGCTTTAAACGAATAGAAAAGGGAGTGTCAGAAAAGGGCACAGAGATAAAAAGAGTCAGAAGATGAAAAAAATGTTGCAGTAAAAAAAGTTCTCAGAAAAACAGTATTTGTCATAAAACTGTCACAATTCTGCTTGGCGAATGCAGAAGAACCACAGAGAGAGAGAGTGAACAGAGTTAACAGGAAAGATGATGGTGCCAGGAATAAAGCACTAATTAACACAGCTACTGACAGCTCCTGTGAGTTGGGTCCAAAATATCTTTTGGAGTAATTAGATTATATGACTGTCTAATGGTCCCTGAAATAAAACATATTTTAAACCCTCCACATTTTTAAAATTAGAATAATGTTTTCTTTGGCAGTAGACATGATGTCTTTATTTTAAATAAAACACTTCTGGAGCGTTCCACTTGGTGGAACAATTTTCTGGTTCATGTGGGGAATAGTGGCTCAGTCAGAGCAAGTTAGTACAAGTTAGTCTCCAAATCTTCAGGAGCAGTACAGATGGTGCAGGAAGACGTTTCCTCGATGATTGGAGAACTTACAGTCATAGCGTCATACAGCATGGGAACAGACCCTTTGGTCCAACCAGGTCACGCCAACCATAATCCCAAACTAAACTAGTCCCACCTGCCTGCACTTTGGCCCATATCCCTCCTAACATTTCTTATTCATCTACTTATCTAAATGCCTTTCAAGTGTTGTAACTATCCCCGCATTTCCTCTGGAAGTTCATTCTTCACATGAACCCCTAGTGATCCTTTGAGCTGAATGGCACATACTGAAACAGAGTTCACAATATGCTCCCACATTTACACATTTGACACACAGATGTTATATATGTCAATGGGAACCCAAGTAACACATTTGAAGGGGGATCAACCTGCATGATCTGCCTGAGCACTAACTATTTTTAATGATTGGCATGATCATTCTCTTTTAGATGCCACTGACAGACTCTAGATCCTCTCTCCAGCTGTTATAGTTACTGAGGACTCTATCTGGATCCTGTTAGATTTTGCTGCAATGCCAACCCATACCAGCTTGTAATTGGATCAGTTTTCTGCCAGCCTCCTCTTTCCTTGACTGGATCTACTTGGTTTACAGTGCAGAGGAAAACCACTAGACAGTATTAATGGAAGTCACTCTTGTCTTAAACAAGATAGAGTCATAGAGTCCTACAGCACAGAAACAGACCTCTCGATCCACCAGTCCATGCCGACAATAATCCCAAACTAATCTAGTCACACCTGCCTGCGCTTGGCCTATATCCCTTCAAACATTTCTTATTCATGTACTTATCCAAATGTCTTTTAAGTGTAATAATTGTACCTGCATCCACCTGCCATTCACCTTACCTATACCCATTGTTATTTTATGAACCTCCAAATGGACACCTCAAAACCTCCTATGCTCTAGTGAAAAAAGTATCCAGCCTCTCCTTATAACTCGAACATTCAATTCCTCAGATGTAGGCAATTGCATGACAACAATCAGGTACAAGTTACATTAATCAGTTAAATATTGTTCCTAAGGCAGACCTGTGTATATGTCTTTTCCCCATAAGGTCCATGTCCTGCCTTTCCCCATCTAAGCCCTTGTGACATCATCAGGTTGGATAACACTTAATGCAATCTCTAACATTAACCATTTCAGAACCATTCCCTCATACATTTACCCAAGCCTTTTTCCCATAGTTAACATTTTTACATTCATCTATATAATTACGTTTGCCACCAACCCATCTTTCCACAAGTCTCTGACTTCACAAATGAAGGTGCAATAGTAGTGTCACAATTCTTCCAGAATGCATTCGCTTCAGATTCATAGGTTTGGTAGAGCTTTGGCTTGAGGATTGTTGACATGGTTTCTGTTCTTGACCCTGTATGATCTGCAAAGTGTTTCTAAAATGGGAGACCTTTCGTCTTTTGGATACTCTTCCCTGAGCATGTTGTTCCTGCTGAATCAGAAGTCAGTTGATTACCTGTTGGGAGGACCCTTTATCTTCTGAATTTCTTGCACAGAGAGATTGCTCCCTGTTGGATCAGTTAGTTCACTAGAGCCTCAAATGAAACCCATCTTCAATTGTATAAGCAAATCCTTATTCTCAATCTGTTGATACATCTGCATTCAAGTATGTAAACTATTTACTCCAACTTTGTAGGTGAGGTTGAAGTTCTTAATTTGCTCTCTGTGATTGCCTTACTGCTGAATCCACCATCTTCAGTCATCCTATTTGAGGATTGTTGTTGACTTATCTCTGTCACTGGCACTGATAATTGCTATTTGGGAGATAAAAAATATTCAAATATTCCTCTTGAACTTTCGTTATTTCATCATCTGATAACAAATTTAAATCTGCACCTTGTTCATCGTGCTATGTTGGTGTCCAAACAAGATTAATCAATGAGCTCAAGTGGGTTGTACTGCTTATTCTCGTTCTTGTCATCTTCATCTTCTCATAAACTTTGCTAGTTTCTGTCATCTGAATTTCTCCCTGTGATGACAGGAATGGAAAACATTTCTGCCAGCCCTAATTAGTCACAGATTTTCATTCTGTTGATAGGATAAAACAATGCCAGCATCTGTGATCTCAATGGAATCTGTCTTCGTTTTGAACTCCACAATGAGTCAAGGAAGACAAATGAAATGTTCACTCATGGCCCTTGATTTGCTATGCAAGAACCGTTTTTTCCTGGACCAGTTGTATTCTGACTGGCTCAGCTTTGGGCAACTGAACATAACTTAATCTCTCTTGGCCAGTTTGCTGTCCATTGTAACTATGTGAAGTCCTTCTCCGACTTCAAGAATTTTGGTGTCAAGACGTGTGTGCATGCTCACAAGTGAGGTTTCTTGATTACAAACTACGCATATGTTCCCCACTACCTTACATACTTTGTATTGCACCATTGCTTTAGCACACTTTTAATCTTAGGAGCTGATCCACCTAGTCCATATCGTTTCATCTCTGTAGGCTGTAACTTCTATTTCTTCAGCCATGGTAATTCTGATAAGACTGTGATACACTCATCATTGTATCAAGCTTGAAATTAATAAACAGGATCTGCCAAACACAAGTTAACTGGATTACCAATTTCCCTTGGGAATGCACTAGGTATCATCTCTAAAGCCGGTGGCTCTACTATATTAACAACTTTACAGAAGTAGTCAGTTGACTATTTGCTGCCCTGTAATGATTCTACATCTACACATTTTCTGGAATTGACTTGTAGTTTTACAGATCGGCATTCTTTCATTAATTGTGGGAGACTGCTTCTGCGCATGAGCCTTCATTATTCCTGGTCACTACTGTGCCTCATATACCTGCTGATTGGCCGATTCTTTGTGTTAGCTTGTCAAGTGCATCATTAGGGTTTTTATACCTTATAAACTGAATGGTTTTTGTTGCTCTCCGGTGATAGTGTTGTCCTTCTCCTCTCAGTTTTGTCTATGATTCTTTCTTCTCTCTGCTTCCACCACAATCCGAATACCTCTTTTGCAAAATCAAATCTTCTTTGGATCATAATAAACCTGACAATGACTCGTCAGTAATTCTAAATACAATTCTGATTTCAAAGCTCCATAGTTGCCGTCCATAGATCTGTCGAGATCATTCATGAAATTATTAATGGATTCTCCTGGGCTTTTTTGGTTGCTCACAGATTAAAGTAGTTATTAAAAGTATGAACAACTTCATCCAAAATATCTGTACCTTCTTTCATATTTTACTAAGCTAAAGCATCATCGGCTGAAGGTCCTATTGAATGCAATGTTAAAGTTACTTGCTTATCTTGGACCCATTGGAACCAGTTTTGTCACTTGAAAACTGTTTTCTTTAAGATGGCCAATCCTACATTCTATGTGCCCCCATCTTTGAAATTTTATCTGCCAGGAAATATTATTTGTACTTCCATTTCTTCCTGATGTATTTATTTAATCTTTTTAGCTTGAAGCATTTTAAATCAGTAGTATCTCAATATTGCTTTATTCTCCTTTGCCAGTAGATTCTTATTTCTATAATCTGGCAACGTAGTTTTATTTTCCTGCTCTTAAAATCTTTTAAACTCTGCAATACAGCAATATTGC